GCAGCAGGACTCATAACACAGGCTGTTCCATTTTTCACTCAGAACAGGAAGAAAAGCTGTGGTTCCATCCTGGGTTCCAAGAAAAAGAAGTTCATTCATTAATTAAAAAATAATAATAAAACTGTTTTGGTATGGAACAGTAAATGCCTGCTTCATGCACAGGTCCCATTTTCCTGGTGGAGTTTAGGTGTTTCTTAGAAATAGGACTATGTCCTTCTGACAAACTCGAAGGAAATGAATCATGCTTGTGGGATTCACTTTGAAGAGAAAAATCCAATTCTCTAAACAGAGGCTATGATTGTAAAACTCAAATTATGTAAACGGGGTGCTTTGATTCAGTTGCTCAGTGGCTCTCGGAGTTGAATTCAGCTGGGGAGGAGGAAACCTTAACAATTTTTCGAAGCTCCACGTGATGTGAGTATTCATTTTGCCTTCTGACATGGAAGAAGAATCTCTGGAGAAAACATACACTTCTGCTATCATGCCTGTGTTATTTTCCAAAATATGATTTAGATCCCAGTGCTTTCATCAGCAGCCCCTCTCATTCCTTCTAGAATGTGGCTAAGCCATTAGGATCAGTCTCTGTCACAAAGTCTAATGTGGCTGCCCTTAAATTTGTGTCCCTGAGAAAAATAGCAACAGAATTTCTTATCTTTCTTACACAAGAAGGTGCTTTGGGTCACACAAGGAAGGTGTTGTGGGTTAACTGTGTCCTCCCCAAAAGATATGTTGCAGTCCTAACCCCAGTCCCTGTGTAGGTGACCTTATCTGGAAATAGGGCTTTGGAAATGTGATCAAGTTAAGAAGAAGTTGACTAGAGTAAGGTGACTCCTCACCCACAGCAGGTGTCCTAACAAGGAGAGAGAGATTAGGGCCCAGAGACCCAGGGAGAAGGCCACATGCCTACGGAGGCCAAGATCGGGGTGGTGCCTCTACAGGCCTGGGAACACCGAGGATTGCAGGCAGCCCCAGAAGCTGGAGAGAGAGGCACAAAACCAGTCCCCTCTCAGAGTCTCCAGGAGCCATCAGCCCTGCAGACAACTTGCTTTCAGACTTCTGGCCTCCAGAATGGTGAGAGAATCCATGTCTGTTGCTCTAAGCCCACCCAGCTTGTGGTAATTTGCTATGGCAGCCCCAGGAAATGAATACAGAAGGCGTGAGTACTTTTTTCCTTAAACATGATCTTGGGGTTGTCCAAGGCTCGAAGGTGGATGTCATAGCTCTGCAAGGAGCACAGCCAGGCTTCTGAGCGGGTGCCCCAGGACAGCTGAGGAACAGTGACAGTGAATAAAAATCAACCCTTGCCTCAAGAAAGCTCTGGGGAAGGTACAGGTGCTCACCGAGCGATCAGAGACAAAGCACCGAAGTGTGAGACAGTCTGTTCAGCGTGTGGAACTCTAAGATCTCTTTGTGTTATAGCAGAAACTGCAAGGAATCAGAAATGGGAATAGAAACATAAAATATAAAGAATGTACTTCTCAAATTGTGAAGAGCTGAACAAATATTAGGTATTTCTATCATCATCCATCTTACAGGGTCTGTGAGAAGACCAGTAAGTGTATAAGCCAAAACCTTGGTGATATTTCTGGGAAAACCATTATAAAATGTTACATCCTAACAGTATTTTGCATGCATCTGGCTTCACTGCCAAACCCTAGAGATCTGGAGAGAAACCTAAACATCTATATATTAAATAGGTGGGTGAATTTCCACAAGGTTCTACTGTATCTGGTGTTCCTCATGCATGTACGCAGTGATCACCTGAATCCCTGTCTTGTAGATATGAATACTGGCACAGGTGGAAGGGGCCTCACTAGGTTAGGAGTGGATGTGACCATTGCAGACATGACTCTTTACCTACGCTATTTTAACCTATTGTGTGCAAAAGTATAAAAAATAATTTATGCCTTTAAAATTTTTTACATAATAAAAATTCTTAAATGAATTAGAATGGCAGCTGGGTGGCTCAGTCAGTTAAGCGTCTGCCTTTGGCTCAGCTCATAATCCCGGGGTCCTGGGATCAGGCCACACGTCAGGCTCCCTGCTCAGGGGGGAGTCTGCTTCGCCTTCTGCCCCTCCCCCACTCCTGTGCTTGCTCTCTCTCTCTCTCCCTCTAGTAAATAAATAAAATCTTTTAAAAAAAGAGTGATAAAGAATTATAGAAATGACAAGCCTTGAGCAGGCACAGAATAAATGTTAGGGAAGCATCAGAGCAGACAGCACAGGATAATTAGCCTAAGGAAAAGGACTGTGATGATGAGGGTGGAGGTTACCCGTATGCCAGGGGAAGGATAATACACCAAAGGCCTAGTTACACAGCAGCGCTCACTGCAGACAAATGATGACTGACAATCAGCTGGGATGGAGCTCCCAGGCCAAACACCGTCATGTAGCTTAAGGGGACAGGGCCACAGCAGACGACCTTACTAGAACCCATCACAATGGAAGGTGCACAGGTCGCAATTTCACAATCCTACCCTATGGTCCCCAGCCTGGTGGACTCCCGAGGTGTCACCGCCTGTGGCTGCTCTGACTGAGCATCTGCTTTGCATGGTCAGTTCCAGCCTGTCCTAGTTCTAAACCCCCAGATTACAGCCTCCTCCTCCTCCGGCCAAACGGAATGGTTCACAACTCCCTGCGCCGGGGCCAAGCCGCTGTGAATGTGGAGCATTCACAGATTTCCCCTCCCCTAATTCCCCGAGAACCTCTAATGTCATCACATTTTCCTCAGCCCAAATGGGAAGGATTTTTTGTTGTTGTGGCATCTTAGGGGCCACATCACTGCACCCAGCGCTGCAAGAGTGGAGAAGGAAAGCCCCTAGAGCTAAGAGTGGGGACGTTATTTTGGTCAGAGGTTTATAGGCACCTCCAAAGCAGCTTTGGGGTGTCAAAGAAAGACACAGGGGAAGAAGTTTAATACATGCTTCTATGGGCTACACATTTGGGTCTACTTTAATCTCTGCTGAGAAATATGAGGTAAATAGAATTATTGAGACTTAGTTTTAGTTGTTAAATTGGACTTCTTCAATGCATGTCTCTGCTGGACAGGTGGGGGCTCACAGGTGGGGGAGACCCTCCATGTGATCTCAGTGCTCCTCTGGATGAACAGGGGCTCACAGGCCAGGGGGACCCTCCACGTGATCTCAGTGCTCCTCTTCCTCTTCCTCTCTCCTGGTTACTGCACTTCACACTCTGACTCATGCCCTCACCTCATCTGAAGTGCCACCTCATCCATGAGGATTGATCCTTCTTCCCCAACACCCTCCAAGCGATCAGATGCTCAGACAGTAGTCACTGTCTCCTGAAGCTTCACCCCACGGCAAGTAGCTGCACATTGGTGGTGGACAGTGGAGGCTGCTTGGCATCTGACCACAGGACCCTGACTAGCTTTTGTGGTGGCCAAATCCCTCCTCACCATGCCCTGGGTCTGAAGGTTGGCTGTTCTTGTCTTTGTATATTTACGTCATTTTAGAGAATCCCTTTTTAAAAATGAGGTTTTGATTGGGTTTTGGGGTGGACAAGGTTAATGTGGGCATTCAAGTTACTTAGCTAGAAAATAGGTTATCATAAAAGAAGTATTTACAGAGATATTTTGTAGACAAGAGGGTTAGTGTATGCTACCCTTAAGATGAGGCAACGCACTAAATATTTAAATGGATTTTAAATGACGTATCCTTGTCTGGGATGTTCTTTGGATTCCCTTTGATTTCTCCCTTCTGTATTTTATCAGGACATTTCTGTGTTTTTAAGTTCCTTCCTTCTCCTGGAGACAATATAGTGGATGTTGGATTGGGTGGCTCCCATCAGGCTGTCGTCTCAGCTCCTGGTGGTGTGGGCTCTGCCGCATAAACTTCCACATTTTCCCAAGTTGTAAGTTCCTAAAGATCTTGCTACGGGGCGGCAGGTGTCGCTGGCCTTGTATCCAGGAGACCTCAACACTGGTCCCTGTGCATCACGACTCACCAGGAGTCAGGGATCCACCAACCTCCGGTCCATTAACGAAGTGGACTGAGGCTCGGGTTCTTTCCTGCTCTGGCCCGTGACGTCAGCCCCTGGCTGTCTGCGTCCAGCACGCACAGGACAGAGGAGTCTGGTGCAGTAAACTTTGAGGGGTTTAAGGGGGCTGAAGTATTTCAGAGGCCCCCCATGTGTTTCTCCATTACCTTGGGAGAATGTCTGGGGCTGAGCCTGTGGTGGTCAAGGGGCTGAGTCATCCTGTGGTAAGGCTTTTCAAGATTTTCAAGACACTCATAAAAAGGATGAGCAGCTGGCAGAGGCTAACAAAGACAGTGCTCTAGCAAAATCTCCTTATTCTCCACCCACAACTTGCAGGACTAAATTGTTCCTGCCCTGGCCAGTTCCTCCTGGGATGTGTTCTTGTCCTCCGAGGTGATCTCAGCAGCTCTTCCTGGACACATACTTTGTAACCACCACACTTATTAGCACTTACTTTTTCATGGGTTCATACCTTATCCATCTGAGATATGAGGACAAGAAGCAAAGATACTGGTTTGTCCACCATGGGATGTGCCTGTGTGTGCTGACAGGTGTGTTCAGGAACTTTCTGGGATAAATTATCCACAAATTAAGTCACAGGTGAATAATTTTCTTCCTCTCTGAGACTTCTTTTATATCACCTCCATCCTTACATATGCATACATAGAAGTTGATCTTTGAAACTCCTTTATTAAGTTTATAAATAGCCTAGGTTCATCAAGGTGTGAGAGCTCACTCTCCTGCTTCCCAGAACTGCTTGCAGGAAGTGCACATGACCTTTAGGATTAAGTGGCACAGCATCTGTGGACACTGGTGGGCTGTAAAAACCCTCAGGGAGTGTGGGAGACCAACACTGCACCCGACCTACTCACGGGAGCCCTAGCCAGCTATTGGGCGGGCGCCCCCCTGACCTGGGATGTGCTCCCGCCATAGCCTCCCTGGCCAGCAGGTGCACCTGCCCACCGTGTCAGTGGCACTGAACTCGAAGCAGTCCTGCCACTTACCTTCACACTTGAGCAGGAAGAAATCTGCGCTGTGGCTGAAGGACGCACTGAAGTAGGTACAGTTCTCCACCAGGTCACAGGACAGGCACTGCCTGTTGAAGTTGCCCACCGTGTTGGCGCTGGGGGAGTGAAGACCGCGCAGCATGAGCCAGCGGATGAGGTGCAAGCCCCCAGCTCAGCCCTACAGGTAGCTGCCTGCTTTCCTCCCACAGGTGTTCTGGGGCCCCTGACGCTGCATGCTGGGCCTCTCTCCTGTCTTCCTGGGAATGCCCCCGAATCCTCTGCTCTGTTGTCACCCTCCTGTCCCCAACTTGGAAGAGCTCGCAGCGCTCCTGCTCTACAGGTGCACACTCAGTCACCTGTGCACCTGTGCTTCTATCTGGGCCCGTTTGCCCCCAGCATGAGGGGGCACTGTGCTCTTATCTAGGACTTTGCACCCAGGCCCTTTGGAGAACAGGAGATGGCTTTCCGGATCTCAGGATTCTCTCAGAGGGCCTGGCACCGGTCAGGAGCCCCAGGGATGTGGGCTGGACCAAACTCTGGCTGCTCCGGGGCTGGTCCCCCCGCAGAGTTACACAGAGAGGTGGTGCTTCTCGCTCGGTGGGGCCAGGGGTGCAGGAACCCCAGGACCACCCTGATCAAGCACAATTTCATGCCAAGAAGGCCTGAATGTGTTTCCAAAAAGGAAGCTGTGGCAGAGTCCTGGCACACACCTGGAGGGAGTCCCTGCCTGAGCACCATGCAGGGGAAGCGTCCATGCTAGGCCCAGGTCCCACAAGAAAGCTGTCTATGGGGCAGAGGATGGTTTGTACCACAGGACGGCCTTCGAGCATATGCATAGGGCAGAGAGAAAGGGCAGGTGGCCTGCCTTGGTCACCTTCCCTTCTGTGGGTGACAGGACAGATGGAAGTTATCCTGGCGGACCTGCACGACTACAGGGAGAAGTGAACCTGTGACCCCATGGATTTGCCGGAGTTTTCTTCCCTCTGAAAGGACTCCCCTGAGCCGCCCTTTTACACCCTCAGCATACGCCCTGGGGGTGGGGGGACACACTGGTCCACCTGCCTGACAGGGCTTCTCTGGTCCTTGCCATGGGGAGGGGAGCTGGCGTCGGCTCCATCCAGACTGTGAGTCACCCTCTCGGGCCCTAGGTGTGCAAGTAGCCCACAGCCAGCTGCCACCTCCTCCTAGTCTGGAAAGCATCAAGGAGGGAAGTTGCCCTATGTCCACCTCCGGGGGTCCTGCCTCAGAGCCTGACACATGCTCTAGGGGGAATAGTCTCTGAGGCAGGTGGCAGGACTCGACCCTGAAGAGGACAGACCCTGGGAGAAGTTTCCGTCCCAGGATTCAGACGGCTCCCTGCTCCGCCTTCTCTGAGGTTCTGACCTGACTGCGGTCCCGGCAGGTCGGCCACGATGACTAGATGCGGCCTCCTCCCCGCCCGGCCTCCAGCACCACCTGACCAGACCTGTCTCCAGCAACCCCCTGAGAATGAGCCCCTCAACTCATATTTGGAGAGCAGAGAGACGGAAAGACCACCGTTGACCAACACAAGAAAGCGAGGCAGGGAGCTTGTTTGACAAAAGCAGAAAAAGAAAATAAAGCCTCGAATATGGTGATCTCCACAGGTCTTGCCCTTGGGCTCAGGGACTGTACAGAGATGCCCCATGGAGGGTTTGCGTGGTGCCTCCCCTACCCCTTGGGGCTCGGGGCGAGCTGACCCAGCCACTGCCCTGCTAAGGTGAGCCCCGGGGGGGCCCCCACGTACCTGTAGAGCTGCCGCCTCCGGGGCAGATCTTCGGTGCTCAGGAAGTAGCTGCAAAGACCAGGCCAACAGGGATTAGTGGGCTCCGGGGGGGGCTTGCTCTGTGTGCACACATTTCCCGGGGACTTCTGTCCGTGCAGGTACACGAGGTACATGGGGACAGGACCAGTCCTCTGGCTCAGGCCCAGTGCCCTGGGCGTGTGCATGTAGGCAGGGAGAGCCATACACCTGCTGCCAGGGCTCTGTGGGGGTGGAAAGGGGGGTGGGCGGTGGGGTAGGGCTGGGGGTCAGGATGGTGGTGGCATGGCCCCTGACTCAGGTGGGGAATTTCTCTACAAGACTGTTAGCCCCAGGAGGGCTAGGACCCGTCCAGGTAATCCCGTAGAGCTTCAGGCTATGACGCCAGGGGTGTGCTTTTCACCAGCCACTGGGAGCGCGGGTGGGAATGTGGACTCTGGTGGCGGGATCAGGGGAGGGCCAGGCCTCTACCCTCTGAGCCGAGTCCTAGTCCCCCAATACCATCTGAGTAGCTGCAGTCAGTGATTTAATCTCTCTCTGCCTCAGTGGACTTGTGTTTGGACCAGGGAAGCAGTAAAGCACCCATGGGGCTGCCGTGTAGAATGAGATGATGCACCCGAGGCACTGTGCACGGTGCCTGGGGCCCACTGACAGCAAACAGACGGCCACCCCGACTCACCCCTCGAGCTGGCTGCTCAGCTACCTCTGATCAGAGTCTGGCGATTTTGGAAGTGGGGCCCTTGAGAAACCAGACCCAGCGAGACCTGTCTGCCGGGAAGTAGAGGCCGCGTCTTGCAGCGGTGGCCGGCCCTGGGCCCTACTCACATCTTATCCCGCTTCTCGTCATAGGACAGGATCTTGGTCACATCCCAGTCTCCAGAGGTGATGGACTGTATGTTGTCATTGCTGCTGTTGGGCTGGAACACAGATAGGACATGGGGGCGCTGGCAAGCCGGGCCCACGCTTACACTGCAGGCCCAGCGTCGCGGGGTGGGGAGCCTCTCCGTGAGGGTGCCATCTGCCCTTCGCCCCCCCGCCCCGCCTTCTCCCCTGAGGGGGGCTTGGATCCAGCCCAGCTCCAGAGCCTCAGTGACCCCTCCAGGCCCCAGCCCTTTCCCCTGCCCTGAATGTTGGCAACACAGAGACCAGCAGAGTCCCTGTCACCCGGTATGGTGCTGGCCAGTGCCTCCAACCGCGACACAGGTGTCAGAGAGGCATCAGTGCTGCATGGGCTGCCGAGGATCCTTTTAAAATCTGTCAATGTCATTAGTGGAGTCATTGTTATGGGGAGACTGGGAGGGAAGAGAAGTATGGGGAAAGGGAGGAAACAGGGCCAGAAAACAGAGGGAAGGAAGGGAAGAAAGGGAAGGAAGGGAAGGGGAGAGGGAGGACAGGAGGGAGGAGGGAGGGGAAGAGGGAGAGGAGAGAGGGGAGAGGAGGAAAGAGGGGGAGGAGTGTAGAGAGGGGGGAGGGGAAGGAGAAAGGGAGGAAGGAGGAGGGAGGAGGGAGTGGAGGATACCTGTCTGTCATTCTCTGCCATGATTTACAAGGATGGTCTGAGGGGGTCTTTCTGAGGGTCTTACTTTCTCCCCAGTAGGTAATCCTGACAATAAACATGAAGGAGGGAGGCTCGGCCATCTGGGGGGGGGGGGGATGTGATCTGGAAGGGCACGTGAAGAGGCGGGGCGAGTGGCAGGTGCCGAGGGAGGAGGTGGGAATCCGCTGGTGAGTGAGTCAGGTGGGGCCTGTGGGGTCTGGGGAGAAGGGGGAGCCTGCGGGGGGCAGGGGTTCTGGAGGGCGGGGGCTGGGGGCTCCCGGGGACTGAGAGGCCCTCCTGGGCACAGGCCCTGTCCTGCAGGACTGTTTCAGGGGCTCAGTAATGCCGATCACGCACATGAACTCAGGGCAAGGCCGAATCAAACAGGAAGGGTCTGGGGGCAGGCCTGGTGGTGGTGGTGGGGTGCTGGAGCCCAAGCACGCCTGGGTCACCACCACCCTCCACTCCCTCGGTGGGGGCCCCTTGGTGGGCTTCTTCTGAAACCCCCTCCCGGCCCCACATGAACACCAGCCTTCTACTTACTGGCCACGGAAGGTTGTCGCTGGCTATTTGGAATCAAATCTTATTCACCTATCCTGGCTCCCAAATGACCTAAGCTGCTTCAGAAATGGGATCCACACCCGGAAGATGAGGGTTGCGGTCATGGAGCTGCCATGCCCTCTTTCCACCTTCTGGCTAAGGGCCGAGGTCCCCGAAAACTCAGTGCCAGGGGAGCATCTGAGCCGCAGGTGGGCAGCTCCCCTGGGGTGACTGTTCCCGGACAACGGCATTCACCCGGCTCTCGGCTTTTTTTTTTTTTTATTAAAGATTTTATCATTTTTTTAAGAGGGAGAGAGAGTGAGCATGAACAGGGGAAGCAGCAGAGGGAGAAGCAGGCTCCCCACTGAGCAGGGAGCCTGATGCGGGACCCTGGGACCACAACTTGAGGGCTGCATATGAAGGCAGTGGGCCCCCGGCCCTGGGGTGGGGGGTGAGGGGACAGCCCAGCCAGTGGGGAGGAAGGGTCGAGGGCACAGGATTGTTGGTCAGTCATAGACCTGAGTCCTCGGGTCCTACAGCCTCCTGTGACATTGTCAGCAGTGTCATCGTCATATCTCTGAGTCATCACAGAAAGGGCTAACTCAACCCCCTGCCCTGAGCAAGACCCCTGGACTTTGCGAGGGCCCCTTCCTGCCCTGCCTTCAGGAACCTACTTTCCCGTTCCTGACATGGGGCTCACCCCGGGGTCCTTGCAGATGCCAAGGGTCCTCAGAGCACTTGCCACCAGGGGCTGTCACCAGCACAACAGTTTCAGAAACTGTCGTGATTACCTGGGACGAGGACACGGTGATGTGATAAAATTTTCCTTGTCCCCCCTGTGGGATGGCTCGGACGAAGAAGAACTTCCGGCCATCCTTGGAGAACACCGGCTCTTCATTCTGGGGATGAAAGCGAAGGATTACGTCTATAAAAAAAAAGGTTTCATTCTGTCTTAAAGAGGTTTATCACGATGAAATACATTTGGAGATGCATTTTTGAAAAAGATTTTATTTATTTATTCATGAGAGACAGAGAGAGAGAGAGAGAGAGAGAGAGAGAGAGAGAGAGGCAGAGACACAGGCAGAGGGAGAAGCAGGCTCCACGCAGAGAGCCCAATGTGGGACTCGATCCCGGGACCCTGGGATCACACCCTGAGCTGAAGGCAGATGCTCAACCACTGAACCACCCAGCTGCCCCTTGAGATGCATTTTCTATGTAATTTCTGATGAGAGACACAGTGGAAAGAATAAATGGTGTGTGGGGGCCTTTGCTCTCCTTGGGAATCACCAAACTTTCCTCCTCCAGGGAGAAGAGGAAGATTGAGGAATAGGCAGAGGCAGATAGAAGGACATCCCTTCGTCTATGGAGCGTCAACAGAGTGGACCTGTGTGCACAGGCTCACGGGAAGGGCTGGGCAGCACCTGCTGTCTCTGGGGAAGGAATTCCAGACTGGATTCAAAGCTGAGGCCTACAGAGTGCTGCCCCCATGTCTGCGCGGGCCCCCAACACCGAGCAGCGCGGCTCAGCCCCACCCGCCCTGGGGCCTAGCCACCGCCTCAACATGGAAAAGGCATTTTGCTACAGCAGCACCCCAGCATCTCTGCAGCTCCAGCTTGGAAGTTTCCATCCATGAACGCCAATTAGTTGGCTACGATATATATTTTCTGATTCAAGGAGCTCCACGCTAACGCAGGCTGAGAACAAATGGTAAATAGGCCCCAGCTGGTGCTGGGAGCGCACATTTCCCGGCAATGAGTGACTGCGTACACGCAAATGCGATGTGCCCAGAGAAATAAACTAACATGTGATTAAAATGACATTTAATCTTCATGAATATTTGCAATAAAATGAAACCTTTAATCTGCAAATATTTATTTTTCTATTTAGAGCTGGCAGCGTGGTATTTAAAAGCGGGGGAACGGGAAAACGAGCGGTGACTGGCTTTTTCAACGTACTTCTATTTGCCCACTGCAGGGCAGATACTGCAATACTGCCTCGGTTTTCTGAGGGAAATGTTTGCACTTTTGGCAGAGAAAAATACTCTGAATAAAGGTAATAAATCATTAATTCCGGCCAGACGCTTTGCTTTCACACTGAGAAGGCCCCTCACCATTTGATGTCATCTTTACACGGACCAGGGAGTGTGCCGCACCAGTCCCAAGCCTCTCGGAGACCCTGTTTCTTAGGCAGTAAATGTATTCTCGGTGAGAGAGTGCGATGGTTTTTGAGGAGGGGCCCCAGGTGTTAATCCCACCTCTGGCTCTCATGGGTTTTGGGGGAACGTTCTAATCTCTCTGGGTAGGACAGGGAGCCCACACCACTTGGTGAAGCAGGTTGGTGAAGGAGGAGTCCTTCTCATTGGGGAGAGACTCTTCATGAGCTTTTGTAGCCCATCTGCCAGTTCTTTGCAGAGAGTGGTTCAGGTATGCTCACCTTGCCCAATCTCCCAGCCTGGAATTTGAAATCACAAGACCAAAACTCGTGAAAGAAGAAAGACTATCAGATGTCGGCCCATTAGACCAACTCTTCAACCAGAGGATGGGTTCCAGAGCTTTACGGAAAATCCCTGTGGATCAGCATCAGGGCTGATGTTGTGAGGTCTCGGGTGGTGGTGATGGCATGTGTGTATGTGGGAGGAGGAGCAGGGCCTCTAGAATATTCCCAGGACAGAGAGAACTGGGTGGGCCTCCACTCATGGGACACATACATGTTCGCCTCCTTTGTTGGCTCATGGGGATCTGTGTGGCGGCCTCGACAAGGTCCATGCCGCGGCCTCGACAAGGATGGGAAGGAGACGAGAGGTGGGGAGGCTCAGGTCTGCTCCAGCCCACCCCCTGTTCCCAGAGCAGGAGACCAGAAGACCGCAGATCTAAGCAGACGGAATCCCTGAGGTCGACTGGGCTTCTCAGACTCTGGGGCTCCCAAACGACACCGTGTCCTGCTCCACCTGGTGCAGCGCCTGTGCCCGGAGCAGCAGGCAGACAGCTATAAGCCTTGAACACGTTCCGAATTCACCCTCCAGGGCCTCACAGTATCACGAAGGACATGGAGACACTATAGATGATTTTTGAAAGGCAGGATCCAGAAATTCCTTTCTGAAATTCTCCTTGAAAGGTCAGGAGACACTGCTGATGCTGGACTTTCCTCCCGCCACTGGAGCTCTGTGTTAGGGATGCCCAGAGAAACCAGGGCTTCCCCACAATCCCCAGGCAAGGCGGCTCGCTGGGCCACCACCAAGTCCCACTCCTTGCTCCAGCCCCGCCAAGACCGCTGACACTCGAAAACACTGGACCAGACCCAGGAAAGCACCACTTTAGAGGAAGTGATTCCTTTATAAGACCTGCCATCCTACACTCAAAACAGCCTGCCGTATTTTTTTCAGTGGCTGTCTTAAACACGGTAGCTGTTTGTCAGTAAATGCCTTAAAGTCTATATTTACACATTCATGCTCCTTTTTAAGTGCTGACTTGATTTTGCTCACTTGATTTTCCTACGTCGCATCCGGGAGGTCCGTCTGGAGCGTGGCTGGTGTCCACCTTGTGTCCTCAGGTGGATGACAAGACGCGCCGCTGATAGATACAGAAACACCCCGTTGCTGATGGTGTCTCTACGGCCCCTCTGAAGCATGGACAAAGAGGCCAGCATGGCAGCTTGGCCATGCAGCCTCCGGACCCTGACGCTCAGCCAGGGGCGGCGGGAGGACAGGGGAGCCGCCGTGCACCCCCAGCTCCCTGAGAACACCACACTGCTGGGCCACCTCCAAGTTCCGCTCCTTGCTCCAGCCCTGCCAAGACCTCTGACACTCGAACACACTTGCTGGACATGTTTGAGATTTACTTTTGGTTGCCACACGTTGGATGCATGTGCGTGTCTCATCTCCCTTTCCTCCCTGTGGATTGTTAAGAGCTGCTGCTCTAGGAGATCCATTTTTCAAAGGAATGTGTTGGGGCAAAATTCACATAAAATAAGACAAAACATTTTAATAAAAGCAAATAATTTAGGGGCCCTTAGTGTATTCACGACTTTGTGCAACCATCACCTGTGTCTGGTTCCAGAACGTTTCTATCACCCCATGCTCTTGAGGCTGTTAGTCCTGTCCCCTGTCCCTAGCCCCACCAGCCAGCAAACAGCTTTCTCTGCAAACTCATTTGTTCAGGACATGTCATATTCACGGAATCACACAATGGGTGTTTTTTTTTTGTTGTTGTTCTGGTTCTTGACCCTCTGTGGAATATTCTTAGCTGCACCGCTCAAGATGGCCGAAAGGCAGGGACAACCCAAAGCCCACCAACAGATCAATGAACGGTGGTCTCTCCATTCAACAGAGTATCGTTCAGCCACAAACAGGAAGGATGTTCTCGCACTTGCCGACCAGGGGCTTGGGTGAAGTACCTGATTCCATTCTGAAATCCACACAGCCTGGGGGGGGTGCTTGGTATGATCCAAACGTGTAGATCAGACAACCATATGGATAAGGGATTCTCTCCTGAGTCTCTCATGGCAGCCTCCCAGACATTCTATCTGATACAAGAAGGGTGTCACACATGTACCCGACACCTGTACTCTTGTCTCGGGTCCTGGGGGCTTTGGGGAGCTCCAAAGCTCAACGCCAGCCCCCTCCCCAAGCTCACACCTCACAGAGTGCTCCAGCACATGCTCCTTCCTGTTATTTTCTTGGCTGGGACTTGGCACCCAGACATACATGCAGGAAACGGGAGTGGGCCTCTGGGCTAGTCCTCTTCCAGGTGAGGCAGGTGAGGAGGGCAAGGAGGGTGAGGAGGGGTTATTGAATAACCGATCATGCCCACTTGTGAGGCTGCCCCCCTTCTCCTCCTGGAATGACTGATGGAAGGTGGAGACGGATGGTGGATTCTAAACACAGAGGAGGGTCCCTGTCAGGCTGCATTTCCCTGTCGCATCTGTAAGTGGGATGCCTGTGTCTGCTCCGCCTTGGTTCTTGACTCTCTGACCTGGTGAGACATTCCCCACACATTTCCAGGCAGTGTTGGTGCCCATAGGTTGGGTAGGAAGGAAGGAAGGAAGTTAGTAAAACTCTCTCACTTATTCTTTGCCAGGGTGTATTGTGAGACAAAGAGCAACAAGGACAGAAAAAAATAGTGTGAAGAGCTTTGCGATTCTGTGGCAGTTTGACTTTTCTTTTGTGATGGGGGCAGAGGGCACCGCCATCAGCCTCTCCCACAAATCTCAAGACCTCAGAGTCCGTTTCACATGCATTTCTGGCCTGAGTCGGGACGGGAAACCCAGGGGGGCCAGGAGGCCAGGTCCCCGGGAAGGCCCAGGCTGAATGGCAGTGGGGTCCGCCTCCCACGAGACACCCACGAGCATGTGTGGACAGAAACGGGACCACTGCCACATTTTCCTTTCCTTTGGCCGTGGTAGAGTAGACCGAGGCGACTTTCATGGACTTGTCCTAGTTTCCCAAGAGGCTGTCACTTTGAGAACTGAGATCTCGCCAAGAGAGCTCAAGGCCTTTGTCCGTGGCTCTGTGGTTCCATCGTGGGAAGTGGGGGCAAGATGGGCCAAGCGGCCCCCGCCACACCCCAGAGCCAGGAAGCTCGGCAGCTCCACCTGGGGATCTACCATGAGAAGCCACCCAGCCATGAGAACTCAGAAAGCCACCCTGTGGTGGCGGACCTGGTGGCTGGTGTAAACGGAGAACGTGACGAGTCAGACATGAAGAGTTACCTGTCTGTGAAGCCAGGCTTCGCTCTCATCCTCGTGTTTCTGAAATGAAATAAGAGCATTAGGGAAAGGATTTTTTGCCTGTTTTGTGTCTGCAACCAGCAGTGCAGAAACAATTTGATTCCCCTACACAGCAGCTGCACACACACACACACACACACACACACACACACACACACACATGCAGAGCCGAGGCCTGCCTGGGGAGGAGGCACCCCGCTCTCCGCCAGGTCTCGGTTATGGCTCCCAGCCCAACACAAGTGTCCCCAAACGAGAAAACACAACTTTCCCCAGCAATGAGAACATATCCATGGATGAGGAATCCTTAGGACAATGTCCACACAAGAGCCCATTTTGGGGCAAGTCTCTAGGCTACGGCGCTGCAGGGACTTATATGTGCTCCTGTGGGTGTGTGTGGATACTTCTCTGATTTCCAGTTCACAGCTCTGGGTGACGATCCTGGTAGCCCAAAACACCAAAGGGCTGAAAATGTAGGTGAAGAGTCGGTCTCCCAGAGCTGCATGGAAGGATGCCAAATGGAGGACAAAACAATACCCCAAACACCTGTTTTACAGCTCTGCAGCGGGGGGCCTGCTCCGGGTACTGGTCTGGCCTCCAGAAAGGGCTTCCTTTGTCCGCAGATCCGCCGCAGGAAGGGGTCCCCATGCTGACACACAGGTTGGGTGTAGACGAGACAAGGTATACATCCTGGCTCCCTGGCTGTGTGTCTGCTCGCTCCCTCCCTCCCTCCTTCTCAATCTGCTCTCAATCATATGGAACAACAGGTGCATCACTGGCCCACCTGAGGCCATTGGGTCACTCAGCTCCCCTCAACCCTGTGCTTGGTGCAATGAGAGCTGCTGCTTTCGGGCCTCCCCAGCCACAGCAAAGCCGCCCTGCCTGCCTTTCCTCTCCCTCTCTGGGAAAGAGGAATTTATGGTCCTAGGAGGAATTTCTGAAACTCCTGAATGTATCTGAAACCAGCCTGGATGTATTCATGGGGTTTAATTGATTATTTCTCCTTCTTCTTCTTCTTCTTCTTCTTCTTCTTCTTCTTCTTCTTCTTCTTCTTCTTCTTCTTCTTCTTCTTCTTCTTCTTCTTCTTTCTTCTTCTTCTTCTTCTTCCTCTTCCTCTTCTTCTTTTTTTTTTTTTTTTTAACCTAGCACTAGGAGATCTACCTCTTAGGGCTAGACCTGCAAGTGTGGAGCACCCCCCTCCCCAGGAACCTTTTTGGCCTCAGTGATGACCTTCAGAGATAGAAGCCAGCCCACCCAGGGGCCAACCCATCCCAGGTTCCCTCAACCCCGGCTCGGTCAGATGGAGGACAGAGCTCACAAAAAGGGGAAGCAGACTTGCAGGGCTGGGGCCTCAGGGACCCCTTCCGCTCTCTGATGTCAACTGGAGAACAAGGGGAATGCTCAACACAGGATAGAGTGGGCCCAGATAAAGGGGAAGAACACATCTGCGGACCAGGTCCCAACCTGGGGCCCCTTCACTGATTGCATTAGCCACGAGCGTTGCAGCAGTGTATGATTCACCACCAGGTGGCACCAACACCAAGGCCGGCGCAGCTTCCCGAGGAGCCTGCATCCTGGGAGTCCAAGCACAGGGACCCAGCCAGCCCCCAGCCTCCAACGCCCCAAAGACACCAGGGACACTGCCTCCCGTACCTTTGTGCAGACCCCAGTGGTGGCGTCGCAGAGGGTGAGGATGGACACGTTCTGTGCCCGGCTCAGCCAGTTCACTGCCACCTTCGTGCTGGTGGCCCATTTCACCATGGTGATGTAGTACTCCCTGAAAACACGCAAACAGAGTGCATCAGCAGACCCCACGGGAACCAGGAGACCCACACATCCCAGCCCCGGGCGCTGGGCCAACAACGGGGGATGGACACGTCACTTGAGGCTCTGAGACAGGGCTTCTCAAGAACGCCACTCTGATGGGAAGCCGGCTCACTGAGGCAGTGAAGTGAGCCACACAGAAGCCCCTGGAACCCTTGAGGGCTGCGTGTAAAGTGCACACTTGTCAAGAGCAGCTGTCCCATCAGCCCACAGGCTGATGGCATCTGGGTCCTGCTCTGTGGGTTTTAGAAGTCATGTTACAGCTAACGCTGACCCACTGCCTTGATTTTCATGCCATGGCCCCGGCAAACACACAACTCCGGCTCGCTGGAGGCAGCAAGGGGGTCGCATGAGGGGCTGACAGAGCTAGAGCCAGGAAGGGCTTGGAGAGAGAGAGGCACTCACAGAGTGTGAGCTGCTGGAAAAACACCTGGTGCACGCAGAGGAAGGCTCGGGGCTCCCTCTCCTGTAAAGGCGAAACACCCAGGGACGTTTGCCAGCTAATTAGGGAAATTGGTTCATGGCTCTGGGCATTGGGCAGATTTGGTTGGATATCCCAGATGTCACATGCCTGCTTTTATCCAAACCTGAAAATACCATGGTGTTCTAGGCTACCCTGTACTTAGCACAAGGGGTGCTGGGGTTGCTGACAATGAATTCAACCACCCAGAGCCCTTCAAAATCGGGCTTTTAGGGAAAAAAAATATGTTAAAGAGGAACAAGAAAAGACAAACAAGCGCATGAAAGATTATCCCTAGGTGAATTTTGAGAATGTTCTAGAGGCCAGCTAACCCTGTTCCATCACCTACCCCATCCATATCTATCATGGGATCTATTGTTCAGAATGATTACTTTGTGGTCTTACAAGATCCTTTATCACCGAAGACGGCAGCACATTCACTAGACAATGCCTCCCTGGCTGGAGAGGACCATGCATATACCCAATGATTATTTTCAACAGAAAGGCCTAAATCACCAGGTGCTTTCAACAAAGCTTTGGTTAACGAGGGGAGGAGATTAAATTGCTTTGTTCCCTATTTCTCGAATCCACCTGTTAATCAAATCTTCAAATATGTTAACCTAAGTCAGGAGCTGACTCAGGCTGCCACTCCTGCGTGAGGAGTGGGGGAGGCCCTGGCGCTGCCCAGCGAAGGCCTGGCCAACCCACCAGGGATGTGGCTGGTGAGGATGTCATTCAGGCATAATCCAGCTTTTGTGGTTTTCAACCTTCTCAATTGCTGTGATTTTTGAGATAGGGCTGTGTCTGTTCACACCATCTGCTAGCAGGCCCACAGGCCTCAGGGACCTAGGCCTGTGTGTTTACAGGATCTGCTCTCTCACACAACGCTGTCAGGCTCCTGCTTGGAGAAGGAGTGTGGCCTTTCAGCAGCTCCTCTGCGGATGCTGTCCTGTGTTTGCTTCACTGCCTGAGGGCTCGGAGCCCGTTTGTAATGTCAGGTCTGATCAACTCCTTGAATATTTGTAGGCATGAAAACATTTATTTAGCTTGGCCCTTAAAAATGACTCAGAATCTATGCCTAGCTCTTGCTTCACATATAATATTTCTTATTTTTAAATAACAACATAGATGATCCTTGGGTCCCTGTTCGATAGATGCTGGAGACAGCTAGCAGGAGGGGCCGTGGGGATGGACACAGAGTCCTGTATTCCTGGACCGTGGGGCCTGCTGGATGCAGATGCTCATACTGAGGGTAGTGTGGGAAGGTACAGTGACCAGCAAACAGATGTCATCTGGATGAAATCAAGGAGGAAAAAGCCAGATTTCCTGGAATGACCACTTTTCCCTCCACAGCCTCCACACTGGTTAGGGAGACTCCATTTTTGTTCCATTTGTTGGAAACATTCATTTGTCCTATGTGTTTTTCTAGGTTTTATGGTGTTCTTTTGCACAGTGTTCATATAGACCAAATATTAAGGTCTTTCTTTTACTTTCCTAATTTGTGATATGAGGCATATTGTAGAAAGGAGGAAATAATCACACCACAAATCAGGACAGTGAAACCTGGACTCACTTTGCCAAGTGGACACTGGCAGTGGCCCTGACAAAGGGCAGGTGCAGTGTCACGGGGGTGGGGGGCGGTCTGTGGGCTTTGCATCCACACCCCACTTTGCATGGAACTTGAATCCTCAGTTCCTCTTCCGTGTAATAGGAATTTCAAACAAGCTGACGGCACCTTAGAGATTTTATGGTGATGAAATATGATGACAATATTTTTTAGAACTCTTTAAACAATAAAAATTATTAAGGACTCCATAAAGATGACATAGATATCTCTATATAGGCAAGTGGTGCTGCTTCCCCGTTAGGTGGTTACAGAACTTTTAGTCATGTTCCCACTTGTTAAAGCACTTGGGAGCCTTCAGTCTGAGTCCCCTTCAGGACTTCACACCCATCTCATTACTTGTACGGCAACATCTCTTCTCGAACCAACATTTCCTCATCCCGTGAATAGCATCAATGACAAGGCTTCATGCCAAATAGGTTCTGGTTATTTAAAAATATCAAGTCAAGTCATAAAGATAAAGCATTCAAGGTCGGGTGATATAAAAGGACCAATGAGATACAGAACCTCACAAAGTAACACTCTGGAGAGAATAATATTCTTTCACTACGTAAGGTCTGTTAGTCACACCATATGCTCATAGAAGGGAAAATACAAACTTTACCCACTTCTGAAACTTTCTCTAAGGAGAAATCCAGAAGTAGGTAAGCAAAGTTCTCCTGGTTCCCTACACATTTTCCATTGTCTGTAATTTCAAAGTTGTTAGCCTAATGGTTACATGCAGGAAACAGCTTAGACTCTGACATTGGGGCTAGTGTCAAGGACCAAGGCCATGTCCATCAGGGTCCTGCTGATGACTTAGGGGGAGGGTCTGTTTGGTTGTCCCATTTTGGTGTGAAGATTTCTAGCACACAGTATCAACTGCTTAGCAAATCTGAGGTAGACTTTAACCAACTTTGTGTCAATGAGCCTATAAAGACACAAAGGAGGTGCAAAATCACAATACCATGAAATGTGAATGTTGAAAATTTCCAACAACCACACCACAGACGCAGGTACATGAAGCCAAACAATGGGATGCCCATCTGTGCTTCACACTTTGAGGCAAGCAGTAGCCGAGCAGGAGAGTGTGATTCTCCTTCCCCGGGTCTTAATTATCTTTCCTCAGGAACACCAACCTTATACCAGCCAGAAATTGGGGAAGTCAAGCCTTTGCTACCTCAGTGTCACAGAAGATCATGATTTTTCATAGACACCTATTGACTAAGAATGTCACACACAAAAAAATCTAAAGAAGGTGGAAGGAAACTCTCAACTCAGCCCAGCAGAAGCACACCAGATGGATACAGGTTAGACTCTGTCTCCCAACTCCATCTGAGAAGGCTCAAGCAGCACCTGAAAGTTCAGAGTCGAAAATAACCTTCATATGGCATCTGTTGCCAGATGTCAGGGGTGGGGGGATGTCTCCTTCCTGAGGTGGAAGACAACAAAAGTCACCAAACGACACAGATGAAGGAAAGGGGGATTATACTGACAACATAAAAGCAGAACAGAACCCTAAGAATGCAGGCTGAGATGGAAGAGGGGGGGATAAAAGACTAGAGGGCAACCACATCTGAAGGTGAGAGAAACTGGGCTCAGAGAAGCTGAAGAAAATTGGGGAAGCTCTCTCAGAAGAGGAAGGTGCCACAGAGATGAAAGGAAGGAACGCAGACTGTCCTCCTGTCCAAGGATGTCAGAGCTTCTTGCGGAGAAACCAGAGTGATGGGAAGAGGACCATCTCCAAAACTTAGGGATGAGATGTCTACATGAGTAGAACAGGATCTAAATGCAGGTGAAAATGATTTTCCATATTCTGGGGAAGTTAATAAAATGCCTAAATATGTTTTTTAAAAGATTTTATCTATTAGGGAGAGAGAGCATGAGAAAGAGAGAGAGCACAAGCAGTAGGGAGGGGTAGAGGGAGAAGCAGGCTCTCCGCTGACCAGAGAGCCTGATGCGGGGCTCAATCCCAGAACCCCGGGATCATGACCTGAGCTAAAAGCAGATGCTTCACCAACTGGGCCACCCAGGAGCTCCAAAATATGTTCTAATAGAATATTTGAATTCTGAAGAAAAAGAAATCTCACCGTAACCTAGTAATAAGGAAATATGTTTTGATAAATGATCAAAATTTAGGCTGATATCAAATTTCCCTACTGTTCTAGGTCTAAGGGCTATTTAACATTTCAGTGTTTTTAACAAGCAATATCTCCTATTTGAATATACCCTACACTGAAAACAATTCAAAATTTAAAGGCTCAAAATTAAAAGCTTAGCTTGTAAGAAGATAATCCCTAAAATCAATCATTCACAGTTAGTCCCAAACCAGTATCAATTTGATTACAAATTTAAAATAAATATCAGAAGTAATTATTAAGTGACAAAAATATTATAAAATAAAATAAATATTGGGTGACTTTCATAAAATCATAAATATTTACCAAATTTTCAAAGCGTATTACAAACAAATGGCAGCACACATCACCATGATGAAACAGGAAGAGACATGTAAGGGGAAGGAATACAAACATACCACATTCCCAGAATAGGAAACTAAAGGTAAAATACTTTTTAAAATGACGAATCATTTGAGAAGGTCTGAACTGATTCTACTGAAGCTTCATGAGGGAGAGATCACATTGCCTTCCTCATTTCTGTATTTTCAGCACCTGCAAGATGCTTCACATATGGTGAATACTGAATGCTTTGTAAAGGACCAAACTTCATTCTAACAGAAAGACCATTGGGTTTCTTTACTGAGAGGAGATCATCTAATAAAACAATTCTAAAGTTCACATATAAGAAGAAATGGAAAAAATAGCCAAGATAACCAGTTTTAAAAAGGAAGACTTGCAAGAGGTATTTATACCAAGAATTGCTAATTAGA